GCTTCGAAACCGATCTGTGTGCTCGATCACGGGTTCACGGAACAATCTATATGACTTCCAGATACCTAAAGCGCGTTTGACTTGTCACCAGCTCTTAGTGGACCGTTCTTTTGTGCTTTCCATCACTTTGTCCTATGGATTCCGTTCTTCACTCAAGCTCATCTCAAGTTGATCAGCCGCGTAGTCAACCGCGAAGCCACTGATCCGCACATTTTACTGAGACGAACTACGAATCTCGTTGCATTACTACTTCTATCATGCTCAGGTTGACACCGATCGGTAAAATTTCTGGTTGTAGTGATCTTGCGCAAAAGCTGAAATCTAACAAGGTCCTATACAACATTGCTTTGAAGACTTCGTCTTTGCGTCAATAGACATTTTGTCTATTCAAATATCCTGCTCGGTGATTATTTCGTTCCATCAAAACGATTTCTGAGAATCCCTACTGTTTAATAACCCCCTGAACTTGGCTCCTCGTTCAAGTCATCAACATACAGCCCAGGCCTCACTCATAATAACCCGAAAGACGTTGAATGATGTTTGTTGCGTCTTGGAAACGACAACTACAGGTTTACTTTCAGTTCGTCACATGGCATCTCAATTTTCTCACTGGTTTTGATTATCCGAAAGTCCTGGACAACCTGGCGTTGGCATTGCAAACAAGGTAGGGGCCTATTCCGCCCCTACAAACCAGACACCGATCTGATGCGATTCCAGCCTTTAACAAAGGCGCAGAATCCAGATTTTAATTTGCTACTGCCACCTGCAGGTCTACTGATTTGACCCCATACTCAGTCAAATATGAATTGCGCATAACGGAACAGCGTTATCCACAGGTACAAAATGCGAACTGGAGAATGAAGTAGCTCAGGTGGCCGGACGCGACGATGATTGCACCTGGATAGCGGCATATTTCGTCTAACAGACTTGTGACACATGTTTCGTGATATTCCATGAAGCCCTGCTGATTAGCCTTGATGCAAATCGATTAACTCGCGACCAGTTGCCGATAACAAGATGATATCTGCCGATTCGTGGGTGGTTGTTTATTGGTTACGCCTGAATTGAGCCTGCCAGGCTGCGATAAGACAGAGAAGCCGGGACACGGCTGTATTGTCAGGACAATTATACGGAGCTTCTGCGTAAATATATCGGGTGACTAAATAGCCAGTTATCATCATCATCATTGTCAGCTGTAAGAGCTTCTGCTAAATATATCGGGTGACTAAATAGCCAGTTATCATCATCATCATTGTCAGCTGTAAGAACCGCGTACTGGTCGTACATTGGGTTTAGCTGCCACAGTTTCGTTCACCGATGATTGGGGGGGGTGGGTAGCTGCGCATTGCACGC